TCTTGACCCTGCTTGGTGGCAAAATGTCTGCAGTTCTTGCCAGGCCCAAATTCTGAAAGAAAATGCTCCAGGAAAAGTCTGGTTCTGATTCATGGCTTTGGGTGGCTCCTGTGCCCAATTGGAACCATTGATGGTGGCTGGGGATGTGCAAACCGACCAACTTAGGCCTTCAGGACAGCCTTAACTCCAGATGGACTGAGACTGGGGTCTCAGGGAGAAATTGCAGTGGAATTCCCAGAAGGGGAAAGAGAGAATTGGCTGTCAAATCAGCAGGGATCCCGCAGAGATGGAGCCATGAGCCGAGGAGCGTCTGGAAACGCCTCTCTTCCGTGCTTCCCATCCCCACGTGGCCCTGAGCCTGGACTGGTTTGGTTCTACTCTGCTTTCTCTTCAACGGGTCCCCTGAAAACGTCCCCCCACCTCCCTACGAAGATGAGACCTTCCCCAAGCAGCCCCCGCTGTGGCTTCAAGCAGACTTTGTCTTCCACAGGCTGGACAGCTGTGGTCTCACCGCCAAAGCCTGTGAAGCCCTTTCTTGCAGCCTGGGGGTCAACCGGACCCTGAGGGAGCTGTACCTGACCCACAACGCCCTGGGCGACACCGGCGTCAGGCTGCTCTGCAAGAGGCTGAGTCATGCCGGCTGCCCACTGAGAGTCCTCTGGTGAGAGACGGTCCCTGGTCCTGGAGAAGGCGAGACGAGGGGCTCGCAGTTGGGAGTGGAGGTCAATGATTGAGACACCCCCCGTGCCCCCAGTCGGAACAGGCAAATAATCTATAAGATTCGGGGGTATTTCATTCGTCCACACTCACGGACACAATCGGTGCGGAAGACACAGGAGGCCTGACTTTACCCCTTGAGAGATACCGATCCCACCTACCGGCCGTGTCACCCGGATCATTTCCTGTCTGTTTCCTACCCTGTCCAAAGGGGCCATCGTAGCTTAGTGAGAACCTGGGGTTCCTCTGCCTGGGCTCGACTTCCAATCCCATCCCTCATCAACCCTGGGATACATTTTTGCAGGTTATTCGACCTCACGGTGCCTCAGTATCCCTATCTGTAAAATGAGGAAAATAGTCACTTCTTCATAAGACTGTTAAAAACTGAAAATTCAATGAGTTGACACAGGCGGGGGACTGAAAATTGCGCTGAGAGTGGCTTAGAGTAAACTCGTTTCCCGTCGGGGTTTGGTTCCCGATGGAGAACTCGATAGTGGGATGGCTTTAACAGGCGAGCCGCACGGTGGGGCTGACACGTCCGCTGAGGGCCACGATAGTGGCCTGGAATGAGATTTCCCACTTTGTGTCCCCAGGTTGTTTGGAATGGCCCTGAATCCAATGACCCACAGAAGACTAGCAGCACTTCGCGTCGCCAAACCTTCCTTGGACCTTGGCTGCTGAGTGGTCCTGTCTGCTGGTCCTTCTCTGGAAGTCGGGGCGCAGGAAGGTCACCCCAGAGCCTGCCGGTCGACACCACACTCAGGCTCTTGATCTCCCGAAGAGACAGACTCCCGAGCGGAATGAAGGCTTTCTGCTTGGGGTCTCTGGGATCAACGTGCAGTGGAGCGGGCAGCTGGAGTTTGGGGAATGTTGGGACCATGCAGGAAACTTAGGCCGGTGTCCTGGGTGCTTCTAGAGCAGGGGTTCCCAACCGAGGCTGAGTTTGTGTCCCCACCCCCACCCCCCCGGCCCAGGGGACACTTGGCAATGTCAGGAGACACGGAAGTGGGTGCTACCGGCATCTGGCAGAGACCAGGGGTCCCCCCAGACATCCTACAATGCACAGGAGAGCCCCACAACAAAGTCTTTAGCTGAAAACATCAATCGTGCCAAAGTGGAGAAACTCTGTTCTCAGAGATTAATCGTGCAATACGGTTTGGGAGGCTGGGGGACCTTAGGGTGCTTGCTGTGCCAACGAGCCTTGCCATCTTGTTCTGTGCCATGAATCTGTCTCCTGGCCGGAGCCCGTCAGGCCACGGCTGGACCCCTGCCATGGTTAGCCAACCGTGGGCTGGCCAGTCATCTACAGCTATCACGCTTTGGGTGAAGACAGGAACCCAAGCAGAATTTGATCCCTGGGGGTTTGAACTAGGAAAGTGACGGCTGGGAAACTTCCCAAGAAGGCCGTGAGCACTTCCTGCCGACGCCGTCAATGGAGAGGACTGGAAAGACCAGAACTTCCTAGGAAGCAGGGGAAATGGTCAAGATGAGAAATGAGGGTGACCTTGTAACCCAGGAAAGGAAGGACAAGGAAAGAACTCCAATTCTGAAGACATCATTCCTGTGGCCGTCAATAAATGTTCCACGAATAATCACATTAACCTTTTCTTCCTTGAACTCCAGTCCTTTACTGAATCCTCTTGCCTCACCCGCCCTCCAAGCCCCATTTCTCAGCTGCTCCTGAATGAACCCACCCACCTCAGGAGCCCTATTGATCGTGACCAGGCCCTTCGAAGCTGACTGAACAGGGACCAAGGTGACCCCCTGTTATCTAAGCCTCGGCTGCCTCGTTAAGACGAGTGCCAATCAAATCTGGGGGCACATTTTGGGAGTGTGAGTGCTGGTACAGGGATGCGTGGGGAAACAGGGTGGAGCTGCCACGTGGGTCCAGGACCAGGGATGTCTGTTCCAGCAAGAGGGAGGGGATTCCTGTGTTGATGGCTTCAGGGTGAAAGGAGCAAGACGTAACTCCCTGACTGTGCTGGCTCCTTCCTGTTCCTGCTCACTGAAGGCTCAGGAGCTGCCATGGTTTGGGGAGGCCCACTGGGCACAGCCCTCCAGGACCCATGGGACATGGTGAGCACCGTGTCTTCCTGGTTGAAACTGACATGAAATCTCCCGGCCGCTCCCAAGAGTACTCCAAGGCCCAGCAGCCAGGAGCTTCCATGGATTTCTTCCAAGGGATCCCCTTGCCCTTCAATTGGCCAAGGTGGCGGAAATACAGTGTAAGCAAATAGTGATGGAAGACGGCCCAATCTAGGGCCCGCCCCGTGACCGCATGGTTTCCGCTTGGGCAGCCCAGGGTTTCTGCTGGTTGGGATCCTGGGTGTGCACATGGCACTGCTCGTCAAGCCACGCCGAGATGGTGTCTGCCGGCCACAGTTAGAGGGCCCCAGAACTATTAGATCCAACTATGTGCTGGGGGGATTCGGGAAGAAAAACCAGCAAGAAAGGCTAATTCTTAAAGATCTTTTTTTTCCCCTTTTCCTTCCCAAACGACCCCCACACCGCCCCCCCTCGGGTACGTAGTTGTTAGTTGTGGCATGTGGAACGCTGCCTCAGTGTTGCCGGATGAGCAGTGCCATGTCGGTGCCCAGGATCCGAACAGGTGAAAGCCTGCAACGCTGAAGCGGAGCGCGCCAACTTGGCCACTCGGCTCCGGGACGGGCCTATGAAGAGGCTCTCATCACTGATGACATCGCCTCCTCCCCTTTCAGAATCTTGACCCTCCCACATGGAAATCATCCACAGCCTTCTGTTCCCAGTCTCAGTATTGAGATGGGTGGAGCATGCAAAGCTCCTTCTTGAAGATCTTTATCTGCACAAGTGAAAGCAAAAGCGCTGTTTCCCAGGACACGGGAAAAATACCCTTCAAACGTTGGCTTCAAATTGGGAGTGTGGAGAATATTCCTAGGACCCCGAAGCAGGTTGGGTTAGGGCCAGCCATTACTTTTCTCAGCCCAAATTAGTCCCAGGAGGATACCGTCTGCGAACCCTCATCAGCCCAAACACTCTGGGAAGGGAACGTTTCTGCCCCGCTTGAGTAACAGAAAGCAGGGACTAGGATATCCATGACGCCCAGGACCCAGCCCAGTCCTTCCCTCGCCGCAGTCTGTACGCAACCCTGAACTCCCAGGAACCCTCCACTTTCATCCACTGGCCTCATGTAGCCCAGTCACTCGCAAATGTACACGCAAGCATGACACGGGAACACAATTTCCATGGTTTATTTTGCAAACTGGCACTTTAAATTCCCTCAATTGAAATGCTCGAGTACACGCTGGCCTTATGGCCGGATTTTGGAAACACATGCTATGGTATATCTTGCAGAATGTAAGACTCTTAAGGTAAGTCAAGAGTGGTCCCTACACATTTCCGTTTGGTGGCACGGGGAAATGCAAAGGACAGGACACGGCCTCTTGGATTCTACGGGAGGAAAAAACTCAGCTCAGGGCTGAACTGAGATCCTTGGTCACTGACCATCTATCTCCCCTGGATGGTACAAAGTCCCTATCAGGGCAAACTAGAGACAGGGGAGATGAGATGGTCGTCACCTCAGATGAGGGCACGCTGGAGCCTGGAGATGCACTGGAAGCTGTGGCTCCAGTCCGGCATCTGTGGATGAAAAGTGCGGGAACAGTGGAGCCGAACTGTTATTGTAGCTCTCAAAACTCCTCGTTTCCCAAACCAGCTCCTGAGATGCTCTCCTCAAACGGGGACACACAAAATGAAAGCACTTTCCTGTCACGAACACGGCAAGCGCCCCCATTTTGAGTCTCACAGCCTGAGCGCTTGGAACCGGTTCCTGGTTGTAGAAGGAGCTGAAGACCTTTGAACCCTCACGAGGTGAGGGTTCCACTCAAGAGTTGGATTCTAGAAATTGCTATAGATTTACTCATGCCAACAAGTAGAAATCATGACACTATCGACCCAGGGCCACAGAAACCTTTCTAAAGACAGGGAAGGAAAGCACGTCAGTTGCACGGTTTTGTGCAAACGGCTCTGTGGTTCGAGCTGGTACCGACCTTCCATTCCCCATTTCAGAGTCTCTCCCCATCAGCAAGCACTTCGGCTGTGTGACTGCGGTGGCGAGTCCAGGCATCCCTCAAGTGCACGAGCCTTTTGCAGTGTTACCTGGAGTCTCCAGCCAGCCTTCCGGCATCTTAGAGGACAACATCCATGCTGAACAAACCATTTCCTGTTCCTGACAAATTTCCCCATGGCTATCAGGATGCCAGAGATTGATAACCCCTGACAAAGTCACCACAGCAGGGTAGTGATATTCTAGAACAGCTTGGGTTCCGTGGAGGGTGCCCACCGGCGACACTCAAATGTCGCAGCACTTTCCATCCCGATGTTCGAAGAGTGCTTCCACATTTGAGTCCCGCAGGCTGAGCAGCTGACCCGGGACCTTTGCCCAGAGGAAGCCTGGACTGGACACGGCCAGATCCAAGCCCTGTCCTAGCTACCCCAATGCTTGGCAAGGACCATTTAGCATCTGCCAACTAGAAGGTACTTTCTCAACCGGTAACACTCAAAAAATGGCGGCACTTCCCTACGTAGCACAGAAAGTGCCCCCACAGTTTGAGTAGCACAAGTTGAGTAATTCCACACAAGAGACTCCCCATCGCCGACTGAAGGACTTACCAGACAAAGGAACGCTTGCAAATGATTACCGTAAATCTGCCTTAATCCTAAAATAGGGAGACTGGAAAAGGTTAAAAGAAAATTCGATCATGGAAATTAGGCTCACATTCATCACCACCATAGGTAACAGAAAAGAAAGACTTTCCAGCGGATAATGAGATTTCACTGCATATACCCACGTCACCAAACTAAGAACTTAAATTACCGCTTTGGTTTGGTTACCTGGAGCCTATCACGTGACTCCGTTTGGCGCCTGTTTTGTTTCGACGTGCCAAACCAGAGAAAAATGGCTGACTCAAAAGACGTACCTCGTTATTACCCCACGAAGCACGTAGGAAGACTAAGGGTTCCTTCGCCCCTCAAGGTATCCTTGGAAAGAGAACCCGACGCCACCCAGGAGCTTCTGGATGCAGGAAGCCGAGACAGCGGTGCAGAGAGCCGTTTGCATATAGGAGTTTGTAACACGTTAGATGACGGGAGTTCAGAGTGAAATGAGGTGTGAGGGAGGAAAGCATTGAATGAAATTTCAGAAGCCAGAAAGCGCAAGGAAACCTCTTAAGGATGGAGGTAAAGGAGATACCATGCGGACGATACTTACGCAGTGCGCGGAGGGAAAAACTTGAGGTCCCACCGCGTCTCTTTCCTGGCAAGGAAGAAACGAGCGCTGCTGGGCTCTTATATAAGCTGAAGACCCATTCACCCCAGACTCAGGGCAAGACCACTCCCCTCTATTTCGTCTCCGCCCAGACCCACCCTGCTTCCTTTGATCGTCTTGGACACACCCTCACATAGTTTCTAAACTCTTGACTCTTTCATTGTTTTTATCCCCAGAACAAAATAATTTTGATCAATCAACCGGGAAAATCCAGAGATGTGCCCAGAAGAAAGTAATCTCATCTCCTGGGGGTTCCATTATTCATTCAACAACCATTGACATAGAGTATTTTTTTATTACATCTATTGAGCGAATAAGGCCCACCAGGCACTTCGCTAGTTCCTGGGGCTAGAGGGGTGAATAAGATCGTGGATTTTATAGTCTAGAACAGTGGTGGGTTTTTTTCCCCTCCCAGGGGATAGTTGGTAATGTCTGGAGAACTTTTCGCTTGTCCCAAGTGCCATGGAGGAGAGGACTGCTGCCAGCGGTCAGTGGAGAGAGGCCAGGGCTGCTGTAAACATCCTACAGCGTGGGACAGCCCCTGCTCATAAAGAATAGTCCCGGCCCCAAATGTGGATACTGCCGGAGCTGAGGGATCCTGGCCTAGCGGCAGGGTGACAGGGAGGGGAAACACACACACACATATATGTATAATTGCTGCTCATAGTATTTAATCACAATCTCTTTACATATTCACATAAACATTTATGTTGAGAACACGCTTCTGTGTTCTTTAAAGTCAATAGTCTATTAAAAAGTATTTAAAATGTGTTTTAACAACCATAAATATTAGAATACCATTTCTCAGCCTGCTTTTGATATCTTTTGAAAAGGTGCAGTTTTACTTAATTTGTGCATATTTTCGCGGTCTGAGGCCTTGCTGTAACTCTCCCTATGACTAACCGTTGAGAAGAAGTAACTGGAGTTCATGAGATGTAGTAAAAATGGTTAGATAAATTTGGGAAACTGTGTCAATAAAATAGAAACGTCTGGAAATAAAGTGTGTTTTCATGGTTGAATGGCAATGCAGAGTATGCTTTTACCTAATTTCATTAATCCCCTTCCCGTGAGACGTTTTCCATTTCTATAAATTTAGGGTGTTTTTTTTCATAGTGCTGCAATGAACATTTTTAGAGCAACTGTGGTCAGAGTGGAGGCGTTTATTTCTCATGTCGTCTATAAATCCATATTAACCCTCCAAATATTATCGGCATCCTAAGGATGAAAGAACTGAGGTGAAGTCATCTGCCCAAGGAAACATGGCCAGAAGCAATGAGTGGATGGAACCCGGGTCTGGAAGTTCAGGCTCCAAATTCTTTCCGTGGTCCTTCTCAGGGTTGCTGGAGGGCAGGGCTGGTGACCTGGCACTTGCTTGGCCACTCAGATGCAAATCTGCCCTGTCTGCTCCTCTCCCTCTGCACCTGGACCCTCTGAGAGTACCCGCACTCAGCACCTCCTTCCCATCAGTTTATTTCTTTCTCAGCCCATGGCAGCGCTCTCTTCCTGCCCTTCGCCCCCGTGTAGGACATTCACGGCTGGTTCCTACCTGTCTTGCCTCTCTTATGTCAACCTCCAAAACGAGAAACCAGCATAAGAGGCAAAGCATTTATTTGGGATAGCAGAATTGCAATGTGGGAAGCATGGATTCAGGAAAGCTAAATAGTGTCCCAGTTACAGGAGAGGGGCTTAGGGTTTTTGTGAGAAAAAGGGAGGAAGATGAGGTAAGTTGTATGAAAGGAGAGTTCATTGAGTTCGTTGGTGCTACATGAGTAAGGCTCGGTTTGTACTTCACAGATTGGCCCGAGATTCAGTCATCGGGCAAAAGCCTAGACTTGTAGGTCATTGATTGGTTAGCAATCCAGACATCAGCAAAGTCCAGTTCCGTCACTTCTTACAGACAGGATATTCTTGTCGACACTGACTTCTTGGAATGTTGGAGGTTTGGTCCAGTCTGGAAGATGAAAAAACAAGAAGTGCAGGCAATTCCTCTGGAATGCTGCTCTGGCTCTATTTTAATATGGCTGCACTGATGTCATCTTTCACACACGCTAAAGGTCACCTTCTCTAGGTGGGCCCCCCTCAAACCTCCAGGTTAGGTCCTTAATAGCATCCTGCATCCTTTTTTGATTGCACACTTCATGTGCGTAGCCGTTCTCTGTTTATTTGACTAATAACTTGCTTATCAGTTCTCAATTATTTGTCACAGTTGCTTTTCTTTGTTTCAACCCATTTATTTTATAGATGATAACACTCAGTCACAGAGGTGTTAACTGAGACATCTAGGGTGAGAATCAGGTCTCGCGCTCCCCTTCCCCCACCTTTATTGAGGGATAATTTCTTTGTCATACTTTTTTGATTTTTCTGTTACTTGTCTCTCGAGCTCAGCTCCTGAGGGGACAATGGCTTGTCTGTCTTGTTCACCTTGTCCCCCACCCCCAAAACCTGTCTTGGACCTGGCACATAGCAAAGAGGCAAAGAGCGTGTTGTTTAAGTGTGGAAAACTTAATGAATACAATTGAATTTAAGCAACTTTAAACAAAGACTATACTCAAAGATGACTTTAAGTAAATTGAAAGTAAAAGACCCACTTTGGTATTTTTTCACTAATTCCTAACATTTGTGGAATGACGGTGTAAGATGATGAGCACCTGAAACTTTCATTACTGAGTTGACAACAAGGTGCTTGGTCTAGTTTTTGCTATTTTGGACATTAAACATGCCTATTTAAAGTCTCAGGTTAATATCTCTATTAACTATTTTTTCCCCAATATTTTGCTTTCTTTTTTCCAGCTTTATTGAGGTATAGTTGTATAATTAATTTATTAACTGTTAATTAACATTCAAGTCTTAAGTTAATATCTTTGCTGTTTAATGAGGTTTTTTTTTTTTGGATTCATGATGGAAAAATCAGAAATCCCAAAGATTTAAGAAATGAGATTCGTTAGCCTGAGGTGGTTGGGGGAGGTGGGGAATAGACGGAAGATGCTTTGCCTAGTCAGGAATTCTTCCTGTAGCATTGAAAGGTCTTCATTTGCAAATCACCCGATCTTGTTGTCATTATAATCATCCTGGCCTCTCCACCATCCCCACCCAATCCTTAGCATTATCTGGATGCTCTCCATACCAATGGGAATAGTTTCATTTGCAAAGATCCCGACAGTTTTTGAAATCCTTTTAGGTACAGTATTCAATCCTCTAATTCCATCATTGTATCGTCCACATTTATCTACAGCCTGGGGGTGAGTGGGTGATAATCTTCTTTATGACATTAAGGGAATCCTGCCATTTTATCTAAATTTACTGTTTGGGGATGAGGTTAAAGTGAAAAACTGGGGGAAGGATTCTTTCCAGACTGGATGAAATGCTTCTCAAGGGCACTTGGGAGTCAGGGGTGTCTGTGTGCCGGACACCTCCAAGACGTAATACACATCATTTAATATGTACTGAACACCTAAATTGTGCTGTCCTCAGTCCAAATCCTCAGTCTTAAGTGCTGGGGATAAAATGATGTATAAGAAAGACGGAAAGAAAACCCTGAGCTGTGTGGAGCTCACATTCTAGCGGGGAAGAGAGTTGACGATAAGCATAATGAACCAATAAAGAACGCAGTTAGGTTAGAACGTGACAGGCAATGTCAAAGGACTAGAGCAGGATTTTGAGAGGGATGGGACGATGCTCACACAATACATAGAGGGTCTACTGGTCTGGGATTTTCCAGCCACGTAACAGCTCAACTCCCTGACTTCAGGCAAGTCTGGGTCAACAATGCCTCCTCATGGACCCTTCCTCCCACCAGGTTTTCTAAAATAGCAGTTGCTGATGCTCTCCTCCCTGCTGGGTCTTTAATATTTAACGGGTATCACTGGCTGACATTGTATTACAAACTCACTTGCTCATTTTTTTTTTTAATTTTTCCTTTTTCTCCCCAAAGCCCCCCGGTACGTAGTTGTGTATTTTTAGTTGTGGGTCCTTCTAGTTGAGGCATGTGGGACGCCGCCTCAGTTTCTAGCCTAGGGAAAGATGCTTATCCTTAAGGAAATGCCAACGTGGGGGGAAGCTGCACCTTTATCTTAAGGGCATCTGTTCTTGCCATAGGAAATGTTTAAAGCAGATATACAATGG